GCGAGCACAGGGTTGCTTCTTAAGAAAATGCCTTTTTCCATTTCATACATTTTTGCACTTAATGGCAGCACTGAAGTAAAAGTGCAACTAAAAACGCATCAAAATTTAAGTCGGAAAATGAAAAATGGAAGAACAACTTAATATTTTTTCTTTTTTTAATATATAATTTTTATAATATTTTTTATATCTAGTTTATAATGATAATAAAAAAATATTTTTTACTATTCTAGTATTTAATACTAATACTTTTTCGCAAAATAGCGCATTTCCACCCTGCAAAATTGGCGTGCTGGCTATTCGGTTCACCCAGCAAATCGTGCTGGCTGTTCGATTTCGAAAATTCTCTGACTCCGTGCTGTGCACAAGAACAATTGCACGGTGATTGCCAATCGAAATTGGTGGCGTAACCACGGCCTAAGCGTTGCGTTTTCCATTGTCAACGAGTGAAAGCGCTATCCCCAAATCAACTCGGCGTAATTTTTGACGTTTTCTCATTTCCTCCCGTTTTAATTCTCGTTTCCTCTTTCACTTTTTGCCCTTTCTCTTTCTTTCCGTCTTCTGCATTCAAGTTCAACACGAAACGCCCTGTCAAAAATTTAAATTACATTTTCTTGGCGGTAGCGCCGCGTTATAGTGGGATGCTCCATACAAATTGTACGGGCATGAGGATTTTTGCCAGTTGTTTGACGATTGACGCGCCAATTTAGGGACAGAAGTTTGATCGCTGTTTGACCAAAATCAAAATAGTTTTGATTTTCATCAAATTTGATAGTAGTTTCACGTGTGCTGTGGACCGTGTAAAGTGCTGTTTGATCAAATTGATAAACAAAGTGAACGAGCATGTGCCCAAGAAATTAAATAAAAAACAAGAGATGCGCAAGAAAAAGGAAAACTTCATTTTAGAATTAATAAATTAATACAAAAATCTCCAAAGCTTTTTTTGTGGTGATACAACATCAACAAAAATTTACATTTGATGGGCCTTTTGTTGCGTGTAAGTCAAACCATCAAATTACACAGGTATGCAAGTGCACAAGAATTTAAATGAAAAAAAAATGCAAATGAGAAGAAGAATACGACTTCATTTTAGTATTAATAAATGAAAACAAAAATTTCTCAAGCTTTTGTTCAACTTAAACCAAAACGAAAAACTTAAATTTGATGGGTTGTGTGAGGCGTGTAGGTACCCACTCGGAAAATAGGTAAGCACCTTGCGAGGTAAGCCATGTTTTCTTTCAGTTTTTAGTACCACAATTGTCATCATGGCCAGTGTCATCTACTAGTAAAGGGCAAAATGAACACCTCCGAAGACACATTACGTTGTCAGTTGCAAAATAACGTGCAGCCGAAGTTATTTCCAAGCACCGAACTACTCCGAGCGACTGCTCTGCATTACACGTAACTTACTTTGTAAAGCGGCTCAGAAGTATGTCTGATACCAAATGTACATTCTAAATTCCTACTTACATAAGGCGGCCATGCCTTTGTAAAAGTAAGGGACGTTCGGCAGGGAAATGGTAATGACTGCCAGGTGAAGAGTAAGTTGCTAATAAGGTATTATTACGTGCTCCTAATTCCCACTGGGTAAAATCATCAAATTACACAGACACGTAGTTTTATAAAAAAAATTGACCATGCAAAGTCCCTTTAATCAAAATGACACTTGGGGTGTTCACAGTTCGTTCCAAATAGTGTCTGAAAATGTAGACGTCTACATTTTGAGACATCTTTAGCATCAAACTGTGAGCACCCCTTTCTAGCAGTCGTCGCAAAATCGTCTCAAAACTTTGCTGGTGTTGCCAGACATTTCTTCTTTGCGTGCATTTTTTATATATCGCCTTTCGATTTTGTTTCTGAAAAATTGTAATTATTTAACTTAATTACCAATTCCTAATATTTGTTATTTCTTTTCCTTTATTTGTTTCTTTTCATCAGAAATTGCGCTCAAATTAAATGCAAATACAAAAAACGTGCCCAATAAATAAAAAAAATATGATTAGTATTGCCATAATGCAACCCTGCTGCGGGGTTGCAAAATGTAGACGCGTAAAAAACATACCTTTGAGTGTGACAAAATGTAGACGGCGTCGTTTTCCAATTTTGTATGGGAAACAACAACACCACAGATGTTACGGTTAGAAAACGTCTTAAAATGTAGACGTCTACATTTTCAGACACTATTTGGAACGAACTGTGAACACCCCAACTGAAACGCAGTTTGATCAAACAATTTGACCACGTAACGTTCCTAGTATAGTAGAAAGGTCTAAGGGCTTAGTATACTATACAAAGTTTCCATAAATATTTAAGCATCTTCAGAAATGTGTTTTTGTTATCTTCCACAAAGTTTCAAAAAATACATTTATAAACAATATTAAACAAGTAAGAGCAGCGCTGTCTTCGGCTATGCCGAAGGCTTCATACCTTTCATGAACATCTGCAAATTTTACTTTGACAGATTACTGCTTTTGAATACATCTGCATACATCGATAGAGGAGTTACATACTTATATAAAAAATCGCATCTAAACAATCAGAGGTATGGAAGATATACTTTATATGGCACCAATCTAAGTGATTTTCACTGCTATGTGATCGGTATGTAAACCGGTAACACAATTTATTGGGTTTAGTTTCCTACATAAAGGAGATATATGGCAAAAACTGGTATCTGAACAATCAGTGCTATAGGAGATAAAGCTTATACAGCATAGATTTTGATGATTTTCTCAGTAGACTTTGTATTATTATTTATAAAATATCTTACGAAATTTATCGGTTTTAGCTGTTCAAATAAAGGAGTTTTACAGTAAAATCCCATATCTGAACAATCAGATGTATGGAAGATATATGTTGTAGTCATCCGATCCTTGTTATTTTCACTGTAAGTATTCTGTAAATAATGAGTGAAAGTGGTGCGAAATTTCATGTTCCTAGCTGCATAAATGGAGGAGTTATGATAAAAGACCTCATATCTGAACAATCAGTTGTATGGGGTCTGCAGGTTATAGTGACCCGACCTTTGTTATTTTCACTGTAAGTCTTCTGTTATAATGACTGAAAACAGCGCGAAATTTCATGGTCCTAGCTACATAAATGGATGAATTATAACGAAAAATCTCATATCTGAACAATCAGTTGTATGGGAGCTATAGGTTATAGTTACCCGATCTTTTTAATTTTCACTGTAAGTTTTCTGTTGATAACTATTGAAAACAGTGCGGAATTTCATGTTCCTAGCGATATAAATGGAGGAGTTATAACGAAAAATTTTATATCTGAACAATCAGTTGTATGGGGTCTATAGGTTATAGTGACCCGATCTTTGTAATTTTCACTGTAAGTATTCTGTTGATAATGGGTGCAAGTACTGCAAAATTTCATGTTCGTAGCTGCATAAATAAAGAAGTTACAACGAAAAATCTCATATCTGAACAATCAGTTGTATGGGAGCTATAGGTTATAGTGACCCGATCTTTGTAATTTTTACTATAAGCATTCTGTTGATAATGGGTGCAAGTGCTGCGAAATTTCATGTTCGTAGCTGCGTAAATGGAGAAGTTATAACGAAAAATCTCATATCTGAACAATCAGTTGTATAAGAGCTATATGTTATAGTGGTCTGATTCTTCCGGTTCCGACAAATGATTAATACATTATAAAAATACACCCACCTACCAAATTTGATCCGGATATCTCGAAAACTGAGAGACTAGATTGCATACAAACAGACAGACAGACGGACAGACGGACAGACGGACATGGATAAATCAACTCAGCTCGACGTTCTGATCATATAAGTATACATTTTGATGGGTCTATCTCTTTTTGTTCTGGTACTTACAAACATCGGACCAAAGTTATAATACCATTTCATGCTCATGAAAGGTATAAAAAGGTACAAATGCACGTACATATACATTTTTTACAAAAATACTTTAGTTTTATTTACACTAAACCAATACATCAGAGAAGGCCATTACAAACTCAAATACATTTAATTTGAAATTTCAAATCAACCCGCCTATTATGGATTCCTTCGTCATGCTCGACATGGTAACGATGATACAATTCTATTATCAATTACGACGTGATCACGAAATTCTCCCGCGACTTTGAAATTCAGGAGATTGGCATTATTGATTTCGAGTGAAACGCAATTTTGACAGATTTTCGAGAAAAAATTATACGAACGCTTTTATTTATCGGAAAACGTGATAAAATAACTAAAACCAACCAAATCATTCAAAAAGCCAAATAAGAAACTAGGTATATATTTTACACTAAAGGAAATAAAAATGTAGGAAACGTTTATTAATGGTAGAATGCACAAATTAAAATATATTTTTCCGAAATCAAGGCCATACATATGCATTATTTCGGTTCATATGCATTATTTCGGTTTTCAAGCGAAAGTGTGCATTTATGCATTACTTCGTTTTTCTCATATGCATTATTTCGGTTTTCAACC